GAGCTTCATTATTAGGACATGCACCATAAGTGAACGTGGCCATGCTCATCCGGATAGGAGAGGTTAAAAAATACACATTTCTGCTACACAATATTGTTAGTTTCTCCAGGATTTGTGTTTGAATTGGTTAATATGTCTTCAAGAGGGGGGAAAAAAATCTCTCTTTTGATGACGATCTAAGTTGTCTAACATATGCAACAAGTCACAGAGTTTCCTTCAGTTTCAGCTTCTCAATCAACCAAAGAGTGGTTTAGTCTTGTCATAATACATTTCTATTTTAGTTGTTTTATTCCCACCTGTTTCAGGATGTCACTTATGGTTTGGCCGATTTTCAGATCACATTTATTTTCATTTCTTTCCTAGTTGCCAACATAATGAATTCATTTTAAAGTGCTTTGGCTCTGATGCCTGAAGTCACTTTAGTGTCTTGAAGCAATTTCCCACCCACAACACTGTATGATATACATCACAACTAATAGCCTATCAGCACTGTGGGGTAAATGCCTTCTAATTAAATACAACATGAATAAATAAAGGCATGAAGTTTTGTGTCGGAGTTTGTGTTATTTGAATTTTGACACTAAAGATATCCTGCTATCGATGCTAATAATCAATAGGGCTCTGAAAAAAAACATGCCGGTTGACTTCTAGTACAACACTTGGATGGAAGGATGCTGTTCTTTCTAAAAAAAAAAACATTATTTATTTATATCTTATTGGGGATATAACTGCTGAATATTACAAAAATACAACAAAGTTCTGAATCAAAGACCTCAGATGTCACATTTTAAGCGTTTTAAGGATCTAACAGCGGTCGTTTACTCCTTCAGTATTCAACCACATTTCCTGAACCACATCAGTTTAGTTTCATAACAAACAGAAAACCTGTTGCTTTGACATTTTGCACAATCTGTTTTAATCCTCGACAACTTTTCTTTTCCAACTCGCCACAGCACTAAAATCAAACAAGTGCACGACAAGCTTCATCAGTGCAGAAATCTGCAGCAGATCGACCTCAGAGTGCTGATGAGAGGACTTCCCTCCTGTCCACCGTCTGTGCTGTCGACGGCCACACAGTGTGCTCTGTGCTGGGAGTCACATCTGCTCCGTTGCCTCCCTCCTAACGACTCCATCTCTCCTCAGCTCAGGATCCTCTGCCAATAGTGACCATCGTCATCACATCCTCCTCCTACACATCACCATCATCATCATCATCATCATCATCACCATCACCATCTCTTTACTGTCCAGCCCACAAACTTCCAACATGTCCAAATCTGCAGCTTATGTAACCATGCAGATGATTTAGCAACCAGTGACTATGCTGGCATCAAAGGCTGGCTGCTGAATGGAGCTGATTCATTGTTTTCCCAGTTTTAATCTATGCACAAAATCCTGGCTGCGTTTCACTCCAATATGCTTGATTATTTCAATCTATGAAATCCATAGCAGGTCTGGGAGAATCTCCACGACAGCTGAGAAAACAGACTGGAGAAAAAAAAAATAAGATCCTGCGTAATTTCATTCTTTTATATGTGCTTTTTACGCTTTGCCATAACGCGTGCACAGACTACACTGACGGTTGAGTGGAGCCCAGTCTGCATCACTCAATCGTGAACAAATCAGATAAAAATACGTGACTGGGAATATCTCAGGAGAACAAATATGTGATAAATGATGACACAGAAACAACGCTATGCCATGCTATTCTTCAAATCCCATCCTTGTTTTTTTTTTCTCTCCCACTTGCAGCTCCTGACAGAAGGACGCTGCAGATTAACTGGACCCAGGGACGGATGCTCAAGCTGGAGTCTGAACGTTTGGATTCAGGACAAAGCAGTATATTAATGCATCTTTCCTCGGCTCACTAATCCGTGCCACATAGCCATCAAGTGACCTCGATTGGAGAAAAAAAACACACGCAGCGCGGACAACAAAACGCCTTGTCAACTCGACGTTACTGCGGCTCGACATGTCTGGAAAACATGGAAGAAACACAGCGCGGCGCACACGATTCACCGTCCGTGTCAGCGCGTCCTACCAGAGAGTACAAATCCAGCAGCAGCAGCAGCAGCAGCAAAGGAGGAGGAGGAGGTGGTTCGATCCGGAACGAGGCAATCCTCAGAGTGTGTGTTGCTTGTTTTCGGCTTCGGCGCAGAGCAGCAGAGCCAGCGGGTCTCCGGCGCGCAATGAGCGCAGCTGAACGCGCTGTCAGGTTGACGTTGGAAGGCAACCCACTGCTTCCTGTTACATCACACTGGAGCTGAGGACCTGGAAGCTGTGGCCACTTTTACACTCTCAACTCCCACACTCTGATACACACTCACAAGTGCAGTTCGTGTTATTTAGACCTAGTTTTTTTTTTTTTTTTTTAATCTTCTCCTGGCCACAGTCTGCACAGATCCAAGCTGCTGCTGCTGCGGCTAAAGATGCTGTGAGAGAAACAGTTTTGAACCATGCAAGGTGGTAATTGTGGCTTTGATTCTTTGGGCCACACAACCTGCCCAGTGTGAGGGAAACCAGGACTGTAGCAGAATAATAGAAATACTTACATAAGGAGTCATCCCCACAATATGAATAAAAGACATGAGTAAGACATGCTCATTCATTCATAGAAGTAATATTTTATTGTCTATATGCATTCACTGTTTCACTTATTTTAAATGCATTTTATTTATGTCACATATTTTATACAAGTGTGCATTTTTATTTATTTAGGTTGCAGACTTTTCTCCTAATCTTTCCCATTGCTAGGCTATGAGCATTGACTGTACATAATGATGAACCCTCTACGACATCATCTGTATTCTTGAGCAGTGGATTTAAAGTTATTTCGTCGCTATCTTGGCAGTGCCAGACTCCCTATAGTTGTAAAAAAATCATTAAAGATGTGCAGCAGGAGTGGAGCTGAGGTGTCTCCTGGCCGTGGACCACCTGTCACTCAAAGCAAACTAACTTTAGGTCTTAATGCAATTTATACAGAGGAGTGATCTAAAAATTCACCCCGCGTACAGTTTTCATTAACAGGTATAAGATTAAACTTTTTTTTAAAAAACCAGACTGCAAACATGAATTTATGCTGTAAAGTTGAGCATTTTAACCATAGACTGTATAAGATAGAAGCCTGTGATTTTAACATGAGGGTCTATGAGGATTCACTCACTTTTGGAGCCTCTAGTGGCCATTTGAGGGAACTGCAGTTTTTGTACTTTCTTAACCCCAGAGGTCGCAACTTTCCCACAACGTATATGAAAGACAACACTAACAAGGCATGTAATCCCTATGATTATTATATATATATATATATTAAAGCTGAATGTTTTTCTCCTTTTCTTTTTTTTAACTTAGGACATAAAGGATCAAACATTACGTGTCAGGAGTTACTGATGGGGATGTTAGTCATTAGATATCCTGCAGGCAGCGTTACATTAACCTCCATCTGGAGTTGTGTTTCTGTCCACCTGGTCAGTGGAGGTCCTTTTATCATTTGCTCTGTCTAAAAACACCCCTTTAGTCACTGTTTTGCTGCTTTCTATGTAATGCTGACACAACTGTAAGTAGTGAGCAGTGAACTGATCATTAAACACCTGCAGTTGTAATATTATTGCAAACAGCTGCTGAGTTGCTTAACTTTGTTTTTTATCACTGTGAAATACAGTTTATTGTATTTTGTTTGTAGAAAGCAATGTACATCTCTTTCTTTATTCTGTTGTATTTTTTTTTTTTTTTGCGTGCATAATATAGAGGATACATTCAGGCAACACGAAGCAGGGAGTGATTTTGCTTATTTCCATTGTTTGCAGAGGCAAATGTGTCTTCAGCAGCTAAACGCTCCACTGTGTCCTACAATTAGTTGCTGCTTTTGTCAGCCTTTGGTTCAGTGCAGATAGATGTACTGCAGGTTTACCAGAGTGTCGTCAGTGTGAACAGCTTCCACTGCTTGGTGTCGATCAGTAGGAACAGTAGGAACTCTGGTCTGTAAAAAAATGATGGATCATACTAGTGAATAGAGGCTGTAATACTCAGTAGCTGTGTGGCGCTACAGAGTGAGGCGATAACTCTCTGTGGGTTTGTCACTATGAACAATGCGTTTGACATTCATAGAAAGACACCGACGAGCGACTGTTCCAGCTGTAGTTGTTGTCTGTCAAATGTATTTTCCGACATAAAGGTCTGAATGCGACTGCGAAGCGTTCCCCACGCTGATTACATAACGTTGCTGTTTGCTGTTTGTTGGACAAGTTTTAATCCACTGAGTATCAAACATGTGGGGGGAAAGAAGGTGGAATGTAACTCAGCACATTAGCTCTATTTACTGTACTTAAGCACACATTTGAGGTACTTGTACTACATATATGTCTACGTTCTACTTCCAGTCCACTACACCACAGAGGGAAATATCGTTTTATTTAGCTCGTCACGTTGATCTGACAGCTTTAGTTACCTCACGACTTGTGATTTCTACTCACAAAACATATGAAAAGCTTATTTAACATGTTTGTTATTACATGTCTGCACAACAGTTTAGTACAACTGAAAGTTAGTCACTTAAAAAGAAGATGGGCAGCAGTTTTATTTATCATTTGACGCACTTGTGACGGCATTTTTGAGTGTTTTCTGACTTTTGCAAAATCAACCATTCACCTAATGAATGTAGAAAACAGTCAACATACTAGAGCGTAATGAAAATAATCATTTGTTGGATTTAATAGTTTAACATCTCAATCAACTGCAACAATAAAGTCCAGCTTAAACAATAATGCACGAGGAATAACAATCTAATGGTGTAATATAGAACAACATGGGGCATTTGTCTGCACTGAGTACTTTTACTTTTTAATACTTTAAGTACAGTTTTGTAATACTACCTGCATACTTTCAATTAAGTTAAAAGTTCAGCCGAGGTATCAGTATTTTACCTAAGTAAAGGATACTTCCTCCGCCTCTGCCAGACAGTGAAGCTCACAAGCTTTAAACAGATAAATCCACAGAAACGGAAAGAAGATTGTAAAATTTTATTATATAAACTCGGTACAGTCCAGTCCATTGCAGCAGCGGTTATAAAACAAGACAGTAAAGCGAGTAATGTGCAGCCGAGAGGGCTAGCTGCTCAGAACCTTCTTTCTTTATACAACGCTGCCCCCTTGTGTTTGTCCGTACCAACAACAACAACAGGACCGCATGAGTGATTTATGAAACTTCAAAATATTGATTGAAAAGAAAAGTCTGAGAGTAATAAACAGTCTTTACCCTCTTCACATTGATTTACAGCCGTTAGGTTACGGTTCTCCTGATTAAAAGGTTTGCTTGAGAACGCTCTACACATTGTAGTCATTGATATTAATCTGCTAATGCTGTTGTGCACATCGATTTACAACAGTGAAGATAAACCAAAAAAAAAAAAAAACCGCTGTAGAAAAGCATCAGTTCCAGTAAATATGCAGCACAAGCAGAACAGAAAGTGTTTCTGCAGCTTTGGTGTTTTCACTGAGGAACATTGAAGGAAGGATGATTGTAACAGAGCCTTGAAAGGGTAAAATTACAAAGACGTTAAATACTCGTGTGCAAAATAACCAGGATGCAAAGCGTCTGTGCAGAGATCCGCTTCGTTAGACGTCAGCAAAACGAACGTGTTTTTTGTCAGGGAGATATGGAAACAGTAGAGATGACGATTTTAGTCACTGGAAAGTTAACTCAGGTAGAATAACAATGATTTATTTTTTTATACAAGTGCTGTTATTTCAAGCCAAGAGTGCCACAACCCATGAGTTTTTAATCACAATTTGTCTGTTTAATCTGCAGTTCTGAGCTCATCAGATGCTGTTTGGTTGTATTATAACGCAGGAAATGTTCCATTGTTTCTCACCTGCAGCTTCACAAGCAATTCATCTTCTATTGATTATGCATGCTTTATATATCACATCTATACTCAAGGCCTTTTCATTTTATTCAGCTATAACAATCATGCAAAATGTATTGGATCAACAACTACTCTTGGCACTTTTCCACATTGAAAGCATCGGCAGAACTGGGATCTTTTGAATTCAGGACTACCTGTAAAAGGATGCTTTGGCTCCCTATAAAATCCAGAATAGAGTTGCATAATTCAAATCCTGGCCTCACATTCGGGCTCCTAATGACCACGCTTTGTCTTATCCTCATAGCAGCACATCATCCCGACACAGCTCGATGCTCTCAGGCTTATTTGTGCTTCCTTGTGTTTCCAAAAGCAGAATAGGAGGCGAAGCTTTCATCCATCAGCTCCTGGTTTGTGTTCGACAGGCGGACATTCTCTCTACTTTTGGGATTAGACTTTTTTTTGGTAAAGTGGCTCAGGTTACCCTAAACCATCCTTCAGTTATGCTGCTATAGGCTTAGACGGGACTTCCCAGGATGCACTGAGCAGCTCTCCTCCTCTTCTTCACCCTCCGTGCATCTATACGCCACCATTATTGTTTGTGTCTAGTCTCCTGTAGTTTGTGTTTCGTCCTCTCTGTGAGGCTCTAGAGCTGCATGTTTCTGATTTACGCTTGGGCTGACCTCACCCATGTCTTCAGAGTTTATTATTTTCTCATGAGCTTATTTTTCTTTTCCTCTCCCCCTTTATTCTCACCACAACTGCTGGAGGCAAGAGTAGTTTTTCTTCCAACTGTTGCCAAAGAGGTTGTTTAAACAGTATCATTGGATTTGTTGGGGCTTTTGTTTTTCTCTATAATCAAATATTGTAATGTTTTCGTCTCACTGTGTCCAGAAATGACTTATTTTGATTTTTTTTTATTGACACTCAATTTTAAAAAAAAAAACTTGGAGTCCCACTCATTAGGATCAGAATTTTCCCCAAAGGCAGAGTTGTTTCACTTCTCCTTGAGCATCACCTGTCTGTCTCTGTGCTGCTCAGACTGTTGCTAAGCTAACACAAATAACATTATTATTAAGGTCAGCTAGGTGCAGACTGTTAACAGTGTTTAATGTTGTTCATGTCTTGTAGTCTGAGCAGCACAAATCCAAAGACAGGTGAGCTGTTTGTCATGTTTGTAACTATTTTGTAGCACAATAAAGTGGGAGTGACGCACAGAGAGTGACTTATGCTCTGATTGACAACAAGATCACAGAGGAGAGAGACATTTACTCCTCAAACTGCTTGTGAAATGGCAGGTGGTGTACAATGCAGCTCCGCCTCAGCATGATGCACAAGCCAAGGTAGTAACAGGCTCTGTTTTCACCTTCTGTCGATGGGTGTCATCAAGACAAAATGCAGTCCTGGAGACACCGACTGTGGCAGGAACCACCACCGAGTGACTTGTCAGGTCTTTACGTGTCTGTTTGTGGACAGATTTTGTCGACACGGTGGCGTCACAACTTGCTAGATACAGATAGGGGTGTGTGGATGAGATGGAAATAAAGGCAGAGCTCAGTGATGGTTGTGTTCTGACCCATGAGTACGGAGCGCTCATGTAATATTTACGACTGAGTCCAGTGTGTCAAACGTTGGACGTGACGGTTGGTTTGATCCCATTGCAACGTGGTCTTAGTTATTTTGATTATCATTTTTAACAAATTCTTGTCTGAATTTAACATTCAACTCATGGGGAAACAGTGACATGGCTAGTGGCAGACTCGTCCTGTAATATAATCTAGAAAACAAAAGATATGAGTAAAGCAAAGTCATAAATACAGATGACTGCACAGCACAGCGGAGCCGAGCGCTCAGAACGAGCGGTTAACAAGGCTGTCTATGTTTTTCTTCCTTATTCGGATCATCTTCCTCCCGTGACCTGCAACAGAACCAGAGAAATGACACGACGTTAATACTGCAGTTTCTATTGGAGAGTTTCTTCAGGGTTTAACACATGGACTGTTAACGGTTAAATAATACTGAGAAGGGAATTGTTCTAATGGCAGCAGGCACTTTGAGACAAATATCCATACCCCTTTTGCTTTTAATGCACTTGTGGATGCAGTGTTTCCGGGATGTAAAGTTGTTCCCGTTTCCTCCGCAGCCGCTGTAGACGAACATCTGGCATCTCTTGATTTCCGGGTTGTACGCGAACCTCTTCTCGGCGCCGTGACACGTCCCCCGGTCCACACGGTTGAAGCACAGCTCCGGAGGGCTGAGTTCTGGAGATCACAGTAAGAGGCAGCCAACAGTTATTACCATTCTCAGCCACAGTTAATTAAAACACCCCAAAAATCCCCTGTGCCTTCTTTTAAATGTTCTTACTGCAGTCCCAGGACAGAGATGGAGGATCTGATGCTCCTAAAGCAGCTGAATGATGCCTGTCTGCATTCCATAAGCGTTGTCTTAGCTTTAAACCCCCACACGGGCTCATAAACTCACGTGCTAAGCTCCGGTCTGACTGGAATAGATTTTGTCGAGTGTCTGCAGGCTCTCAGACTTAAATTGACAGATTCAAGTGAGAGGTTTCATGGCTTCCCACAGGGCCGTGCAAGCTGTCCTCTTTGATTCATTCTGGATGAGAAGCTGAGCTGTTTTCCAACTGCAGGGGAGTTTGGTGACAACCAAGAGTGCTCTTTTCCACAACAGATGCACATTAAGTATCGCCGGTGAGCACCACGACCAAAACATTTACACTATTTCATTATAACCTGCTCTGTTAGGCTCCGCTGGTTAATTGCGACAATAAGGAAAATTTAGGAAACTGGCAAAAATATCGATGAATGTCTGCACCGTTATTGCATTACTGGTAGGAATCCACCAAACTGCTTTGGTATTCAGTTCAAGAATAAATAAATCACATCATGACAAACTTAGAATGACATGCGATCAAACCTTTGTGTAATAACGCCAATATAAATTGTGTAATTATATAATTTTTCTGTGGAAAGAGTGACTCTATACCAACAACTGGACTGTCTGCACTGCAGTACTCTTAAATGAAAGGTTTTTAAAGATGGAGAACAACAGCCATAGCGTTATAATACGCTAACTACAGTCTGTATCGTGTAGTTTGTGATTTTTATTTCGGCTAATTATCTCCTCATCAAATCCAAACCTGCACAATTACACGTAGATTAGTGGCTGTAGCAGTAGTTTGGTTTACTGCCTGCAAAGCTACTTTCATCACAGGTGTTTTTAGAAGGTTTTGTAGAACACAACTGATCCAGAGCTGCTGTAGTTTAAGGTCCTCTATTTAACCCTATTCAGGACTTTTGAGGTCTTTTTTGGACCCCAGGCCATTTGGTTTAGGTGACAGGTATTGTGTTTGGTTTTTTAATATAATATAATAGATAATATTTTAATATAAAAAGTGAGACATTTGTTCTGCATTTGGAACCAAAAATACGTCAACTTATCAGAACATTTATTTAACATGGTGTAAAAGTCTATAATGAATACCAGTAAATATTTTGCTCATATTCTTTCTTGGGGTCCAGTGGACCCCGAAAGACCTTCTCCGTTTGCCAACATGAAAGTCCTGAACAGGGTTAAACACGAGGGTCTACATCACAGCCCATCCCACAGATATTCAAAGTGTACACCATCATGCAGCCACAAGATGTCAGTCTTTGGTTTCAACATGGCAGACGCACATAAAGATGCATGCTGAATTTTCTGATGCTCATTTTCCAGCTTTTGTGACTTTAAAACCCAAATATTTGAGTTCAGCTCAGCACTGAGACCTGAGCATTTACCACTCACACGAATTATGAATTTTCTAACTCAAATTTGTCTCATTTATCTCAATAATTCATTGTTATTCTAAGATGTTTTAACTAAATGCAATGGTTTTATTTTTTTCTTTGAGATGTACTTTGTTGCACGTTGGAGAGCCCGTTGAAAAATTACACTCAAAGTAAAGCAGACCGATAAGGAGGCAAAACTACTGAATCTTTCCCCCTCAATACTTTCTGACAAGAGTGAAATTGAATTCCTAGAATTATAACTCTGAATGAGTTGAGGGCGAGGGGCCAGGGTCTCCCTGCGTCGTCCGGTTGCGGCGTAAAGCAGCCTTGGAACACAGCAGCTGTGATATATGCTCCCTCGCTGCTAATACACAGAAAATTAGTAAGTAGGGATATGTGACAAATGGGATGTGGAAGGGAGACACTGATGCACACTGTTTCTGCCCTTTGCTTTTCACAGCAGAAGCAGCTCTGCAAGCTGTCTACCATCTATGCATCACTGCACCTTGACATTTTTCTTCTTTTTACAAAGAAGCTCCTGGCAGCACACACTGATTTTATAAATGGTGTGGATTTGCTTACTATGAGGCCTGAGCATATTTCAGAATTCAGCACGGACTCTGAAGACACGATGAGCGAATTAATTATGTCTTACAGCAGTTAATCTGTCCCACATGTCTGACAGAGTAATGACTGAACACTGCTTGTACTGCTCCTGGCTTTTAGCCTCATTGTCTGAATTCACTTTTATACTATTGATCACAATATTATTGTTATTAAAATGACTTCATAACTAGAATTACCCCAGTTTACACCCACATCTGTCCAGATTCATACAATAGGCTGCATGTAGTGAATACTTTGATGGAGTAAAGTCATTAAGAGAAATAGAAAATGCAGTCAAAGTCCTTGTATATGTTCACATTTGACCAACAAAGCAGTTGTAGCCGTGACAGTGGACTCTGCTGCCAATATGGATGTTGAGATCTATGCAGTTTCCGCAGTTTAAAGTTTAACAGATTATTATCACAAAATCAGTGTCAACGTGGGCCAATTCCCAAACCTTCCAAGTTTGGTTTTTTTTTTTTTTTGTTCGTTTTTTCTGTTCTACTAGTTTGTGGCAAAGTGGTCCAACCAACAGCCTACTAGTAATGTCACAATGTGACTTTGAAGTTTGGCCCATATTCCATCCATCCATTATCTATACGCCGCTTAATCCTTACTAGGGTTGCGGGGGGCTGGAGCCTATCCCCAGCTGACTTAACCCTAACCCAGGTCACCAGTCTATCACAGGGCTACACCTACGGCCAATTTAGAATCACCAATTAACCTCAACGTGTTTGTGGACTTGTGGGAGGAAGCTGGAGAACCTGGAGAGAACCCACGCTGCACGGGGAGAACATGCAAACTCCACGCAGAAAGAACCCGGTGCCCCCACCGGGACGTGAACCTTCTTGCTGCGAGGCAACAGTGCTGCCAACTGTGCCACCTTGCAGCCCCTTGGCCGACAATGGTTTCGAAAATTTAGTGGTAAACTGGGCCAAGCCACAGGAAATGGTGACCATCACAGGAAGTTGTATGTGTTTGTGATTCAAGATGGCGGATGACCTCGAAAACTCAACTTGTAGGTAAAATTAAAACTTAATTAACTACCACCAAGCATCTATTTCTACCCCATGGTCCTCAAAAGTATCTCTAGTTCCTTATGATGTAAACTCTTCAGTGCTGTTTAACAAGACAAACCTTGAATCAGTTTTTTTTTCTCAAAAAGTATAAAATGTGGTACGGCCCGCTTTGGCACTCAGCAAAAAGAAAAGGCAAAATTAAAACCTAAATAAGTCATCACAGAGTACCTGTTTCTATCTCTGGACAGTGTTGAAACATGTTTGGATGCATGTAATGACTCCTCCAACAACCAGGATTTTTTTAAAGCAAAATTCAAAATTCACTCATTTTTGTCTAAAACTAGTAAACATGGTTTGGCCCACTTTGGCACCAACCCCCTTATTTTATCTAGTTAGACATTTCTTTTAAATGTTGTCATAATGAGCGTATAGCTTCTTTAGTTATGGCCAAAGGTGTATTTTGTCAGATAATCATGATCATGATTTGAACATCAAAATCAAAATATTTCATCCTTGAACCCAAGTGGATGCCAAATTTGTAGAAACTGTCTCAAGGCGTTCTGAGATATTGTGCTAATGAGAATGGTTTGTACCGACAGATGGATATAACGGCTGTTGGCAGCTTGGAGCTGGGCTGCTACTATCGATAATGAATTATTACCTCACATTATTTACGTCCGTGAATTGACCTCAAAAAGCTAATGTACTTGCTGCAGAGACAAAGGCTATAGTCATGTGTCAAATTATACAGAATGTCCATAAATTATTTCCCCCCATTTCAGTTTTTTACTGACTTGTTCATTAAATGACATGGGTGATGAAAATAATTATCTTCAACATGTGCATGGTTAAAGTTCAGGCTGGTGGTTCCGCAGTGGTGCAAAGTAGTGTGTCTTCGGTCTCTACCACATTTGGGTTTGGGAAGCGTCTTCGTCTGTGGCTGATTCTCCCTCTGATGTCTGTTGCTGTGCTGGAGTTTCTATTTAAAATGTTGCTTTGCATCATGCACACCAAATGCTTGCCTTGGTGTCTCACACACAGGTCTGGATGACGACCTCCACAGCATTTAAGTTACTGCTGAAGAAAAGCGTCGCTAGCTAACACATGTTTCTGTCATTAATAGATTATCTATGGGTTATACAGATGTTTCTATTGGCTGATACGGCTCCATATAGCCCGTTAGCGCTAAGGACCAGTAGTGTTTGCCTCTGATTGTGCTCAGCACTCAGTAATTTAAGTCTTTGTACTGTATTGATTGATACAGCTCTGGGAAACGCTAGTTTTGTTTTGCCTGAAGAAGCATTTTTCCTTTTTATGCGGACGAATCTTCACCTCAGTTTGCAAACCATTAGGCTGATTAGCATGAATAGATCAAATCGGCTGTGCATTCTGTCTGAACGCGTGTTTAGAGTCATGTTTTCTTACCCTCTCTGGTCTCTTGATTGCTGTTGTTCTGTTGCACAAGAGGTTCACTTACAGTCAGTTGTCCTGGAAAAAAAGAAAAAAAAAAGCAAACGTACATGTCACTCAGTCAGTCTGCTTTCTTTCCTAGACGGAAGCATTGATGCCACTTTCATGGCTGTGGATCAAACTACAGCATTATAACCAGATAGATAGATAGATAGATGGATGGATGGATGGATGGATGGATGGATGGATGGATGGATGATGGATGTATGGATGTATGGATGGATGGATGATGGATGTATGTATGGATGGATGGATGTATGGATGTATGGATGGATGGATGGATGGATGGATGGATGGATGGATGGATGGATGGATGGATGGATAGATAGATAGATAGATAGATAGATAGATAGATAGATAGATAGATAGATAGATAGATAGATAGATAGATAGATAGATAGATTCAAGCACACATGCATTGTAAAAAAAACACAATCATCGGCCATAAAAGTGCTTTCGAGTGCCTACAGTATAAAAGATCTGTAATAAATGTATATATATATGTATAAGAACAAATAGCCAGATTAAAAAAAAAAAATGCATGTAATAAAAAAAAAATAGTTCTACAAGATGAAGCAGTATAAATACCAGTATCAGATGGAAACTTCACAAAACTTCCACAACACTTGGACAAACTTCTGTGAAATTATTTCACCCTTCCTTGCAGATTTCTGAACTAGATGCATGAAGCAATTATTGTCTAATAACTGTAATTATGTTCACCGTTTAATTACCGTTTAGCAAGACAAAGAGCATTACATAGCTGTACACGTGCAGAGCGTGCTGTACGTTCAGTTTTACCAGTTGCTACGGTTGGCTGCTCGACGCCGGCTTTCCTAGCGGGCTGCGTGTGGACCTCCGGCTCCGTCGTAGGTTTCACTATATTGACACACACAGAAAAAGAAAATTTTAGAAAGTGTTTCCCCACCACAGAACATCATTACCAGAATATATTTAGAGCAAATTTCATCCAATCCCACTGATCAATCATAATTAATGGAAGTTAAATTTAATTAGCGTTGGACTAAAACAGGGGTGTTGGTCTGCAAACAGTCATCTATCTGAAATTACCATCCCCTCAGAAAAATAAAAAAAAGTTTCTCAATTGATTTTCTGTACATGGGCTGTTGGCGAAATTGGTCACAGTCGAGAGACTCGCTTTTTATTTTCCCTCACAACTTCAATATCTAAATGACTTCTAAGTCGTGCCTAAGTCTGGCATAATTGAGTGCGCTTTGGTCACTTTTAAACGCTTTAAATGCTAAATCAAGGCGGAATGTGATTTCATGGTCAGCTAAAATTCATCAGAAAGTTAATTTTTCTGAGGTAAAACTATTTTGATAATGTCACCTCTCTGAAATGAGTTTTCATTTGTTGTGCAGCGGCTGTGATCCTGAGCGCCTCGGCTGGTTACCGACCCTGAAGTGTATAAATGAGCCCTGCTTTGAGGTAAAGGCGGGGAGAGTAATTATTTTTGTTCGGCCAAATTAAAACGGTAAAAATAGTGTAGACTCCAATTGCAACTTGTGAATCTGAAGTGTAGATGTGCTGTGGTTTGGACGCTGTGTGTTTACCTGTTGTACTCATTGTGTAGGGACATTGTTTTTGGCGCTAAGAGCACGTCTTCATTCGGTAAATCGTTAAAGACATGCTCAAGTGATAACAGAGCTTTATGTCCATGTTCTCATATCTACATAGTTTTTTTTTTATATGCTAGAAAACACATCATGAGTGACGAGAACAGGCGTCTCCACGGCTGAGTATTTACAACTTTAGTGTTTTGATGAAACAAAAGGAATCAATCTTGTCAACTCACAGGGGGAGTTCTCTGTGTCAGTATTTTTGCAGAATCAGTTTTCTAAGTCAAATGGCTGAATTATTACGATATTACAGCTTCCCTTTGAGACGTTTTAAAGTGTTTGAACAGACCTTTTGCTTGATCTGCAGCGGGTGGGTGGAGAGAGAGAGGCAGGGACTTCATAGAGCACAGGATGCAAACATGCTGAGTTGCAGTTTATTTTTTATTTTTAATGTTTTATTCTAATTATTTTTATGTATTTACCTATTTTTTTTTATTTTAAATATATTTTGTATATATTTCTACATATATTTTTATTTTCTTAATATTCTTTTTTTTTTTTTTTAAAGAGAAATTTAAAAAAAAAATGCATCTCAAACAAGAGCTTGGGTCTTAAGAGGCTAAAGCAAGAAGGGATTATTTTCATGGAAATAAAAATCTATAGATGTATTTTTTAAACGGAGATGAGCTTTTAGGGGGACTAAGCTAAGACAAGTAGTAATTAAAGTCCATGCAACTTCACCGAAATGTCCCCACAGGTCACACACCGTATGCAGATGCAGCTCTTTTCTATCAAATGACAACATCGATGGAGCAGCTGCTGAACACACAACCCTCTGGAGTTTATTTGTGGTTCTGAACAGTGCTGCCGTGCTGACAGTTTGGATCTTTGCTCGTCTCTACTGTAAGAACACAAAGGCCTACCCGGGTTCAGACACTTGGCCTGGCAGTCGGCCATGCTCCTGAAGTTGTTGGCGTTGCCAAAGCAGCCTCCATAAAAGAAAGGCCTGCACTGCTGACTCTGGCTGTCAAAGAAGTAGCGCCTCACGAGCCCTCGACAGGGACCTGGAGCCTCGGCGAGGTGGCACGGGTTCTTGTCATCTGGGAAAGCAAGAAAGAAAACAATTACAACTCAGAAAGATTATTAAGTGTGTTGCTTATTATTAAATCTCCCGTGCGTGAAGTTTCTTTACATCAGAGTGCACGACAGGCTGCAGCTTTGTTCCATATTCAACTCTGATCTGAAAAACAAAGTTGATTACTTTTGCTGCGGAGTTTTTGGACCTGAAAACGTATTTCATGGTGAGTTTGTCGTACCAAGACAGAAATGTTCTGACAAAGAGTCTCTACAGTGCACAAGATATATTATATATACTATTATACCCTCACTTTGTTTGGATTGGATCAATATTGCTTTTCACTTTCTGTCATTTTTTTCAATTCAGAGCACAAAGCTCCAACAACTCAGACATCGACTTCTCTGTAAAAAAAAATAATAAAAAAGACAACGTACTCCATTGAGCTTTCAGTTTTGTTGTGACTTGATTTGCACTGATTGTTAAATGATTCTTTTTAAAAAGTTTGATACGTCTTACAACAAAGTTACCGACAGCAAGGCCTTGAGCCGTAAACGGCACTTAGAAAAAAAACACGTTCGATAAATTCTAATGAAACATGTTCTGAAAAGAGTGAGATAACAGGAGCCAGTCATAAAGACACAGGAAGTGAAGATACAGCTATTCAAACCCAGAGCGTAATAAATGATCCGCAGGTCGTGCTCCACTTCGCAATCACTGGGCTCTCGGTCTCGGTTACCACACCACTCGTCTCCCCGGTGGCGCGGTGACATTTCCACTCCAGTCAGGTTTCAGATACAATCCGGTACAAGCTGAAAAGTCAACACTTTCAGCAAGAACTTCTTTATGTTCTCTCGTCCCCGGTGAGCCACATCCCCTCCTCTGCCAAGCGTATACTTTCCTTTCTGTCATACTGTATCTTTTCCACCACTTACCTCGGCTCTCCTTCCACTCCTCAACACTAGTTGCATATATTATCACCCTGGGGTCTTGGAGTATTGCGCCCAGGGCCTTACAGCTCTAAGCTACAGTATGATACTCATTTAAATTCTGCATCTGTTACTGTCTACACTATGACTATTTTTAGTTGTAATAGTTTTGCTCTTGTTTCGAGCTTTTCCACGGCGGTTTATTAAATTGGTAATCCAACTGTGAATACTTTGAACGGGTTTAGGTTTGCTTATTCGTTACTTTAAATCTGGCATCCGAGCTGAATTTACGATTTCTTTAATCAGAAATGTGTTATCATCTTGTGCAGCGTGGGACACTCGAACATCAAACACAGCAGAGACGTTATGGAAGGTCATGCAGAACCCTGCTGTTTATTTGAAGCAGCTGTCACAGAACGTACAACGTGTACGAGCCGGCGAGAGGCTTGATTTGAGTCCGTAACGCAATCACAGCCACGGCATGAAACGCACCGCTTCCACTGGACTGACGTCATCAACTAACGCAACCTGAGACGCTGTGACGATCAACATTTCTCAACTCGGAGTAGCAAAGTACAATTACAGTACAATGTTTGGTCCAATGCCTCACTAGGTAACATAAGATAACTGCTCCTGGTAGAGAATAATTGACTGACTGAATGATTGTTATTATTGTTGTATAAAATATATGTTATATTGATTTTATTTTTTTTTTAAAAAGTGAGCTTTTACAAGATTGAATTTCCCTTCTGGGATAAATAAAGTATTTTTCATTCATTTCATTTCATTCATTTCATATAGCAGCATGTATTGTCCTTTCCTATGGAATTAGGACGAATGTTTCTAAAATGCATGATAGTCTCTATTGGTTAGATGTGAAAAATAGTCGTTATTGTAAATGAGAACCAGTTCTCAACAAACTAACCTGGTAAAATAAAGGTAAAATAATATTAGATTAAGTTAGATTAGGTTAGATTGCACTTTATTTTTCACCACCAATGGGGAAACTCACATTGTTGCTGCAGTATGGATACACGAAAGAGCACAAAAACAGTTACAGGAGGAAAGAGAACGAATAAACTATATATTTATAAATATAGAAAAAGTGTGCACCAACCCGTGGCTAATATGCTGAGACACATCGTCCATGACAATTTATGATGTATTATTATTATTATTAACTAACACCCTACGTTATACCCTAAATGTTCGTAGTGTTCACTTATCTCCATCTTCATTTCTAGAATGACACTAATGGTGCATTTTACTCCATGAATATGTATTCCACAAACGGTTGAGACAGTGAAATAATTTAGTTAACATCCTAAAGCTCACCCACCCACCAGAGGATTGGTGAGTACAAACACACGCTGTGATCAAACCTACAAAATGCTATTTTACATTCTAGTGGAGATCTCAGTGTTTCCACAAAAAAAAAAAAAATATAAGCCAGGCTGGATTTGGGGGGAAATGAAGCACAAAACAGTGAAATGGTTTCATTTCATGGCCGGGTGCAGACCTTGGATTGAACAGTGTCCACTCAGTGTAAACATATAGATTGATAAAGAGCTGGAGTGTATCGCACACTATACGTGATGTTGTTGAGATAACTGTAATATCAACAGCAGTGAAGCTGCTTTAATATGGATTTATGGACGTTAAATATGAAAAGACTGCACTGCATTGGTACTTTATACATTATGGATTCATAATCCATTAGCTTTAAAATAGCTCCACATGACTGACAGGCTGCAGGTAACTTAAATAATCTGCCCTAGTCATCTATTAGTATAACATAACATCAGCAACTCAATTACTGTATGTTATGACCTCATTTGAAAGTTGGTGATTGCATTGTTTTTAGAGTAACTTCCAAGCCAAGACTGTTTTTGTCAAAAACAAATGAACCAAACAAACACAAATATATTATATATGCATAACCTCAGTTCTACTGTGCATATCGCTGGTTTTAGATGTTTTGTATTTACATCCCAAATCTAGCAAATATAAGATCTAATGGAGAGAAAAGTGTAATTTTCAGTGGTGAAGTTTGCAATGGTTGACTTGTTTACAAATTGTTTACACATTTCTGGCCCTAATTTGTGTCGGATCCTGTTAGTAAACCTAAATAACGTTTGATTCTTAAATTTTGTTAATTAGCTTGCAGGCTAATAGAACAAAGCAAACCAACCCCATCTCTTGGGAATTACAGTTTTCTCAGTTTGCATAAATGCAAGGTTAGACGTTGTTTAGAGGCAGCTTTTGTTTGTTTGTTTGGGTTTTGGTTTGTTTGTTTTATGAGCATAGTGCTACCTTTAGGAAGTGTGTCAAAGCTGGCAGAAGGAGGTCAGGGTGGATGGTGGGCGTGCAAAGCTGCAACTTTCACTCCTGAGATCAGGGTCCACATTCCCCATTTATTGGTCAGGTGTAGACAACAAAGGTAGAGGTAGAGGGAAAGTTTGCGTCTTTAATTAAATGTAAATAAACAGGTTGTTTCTTAAGTTACAGTGGTGTTTATCTGCATTAAAGCAAAGCACTGTCTTTGTCTTACTGTAACCAAGGACTTTGAGGGCCTGAACGCAACAACTGGAGTTGTTTTAGCATTTCATTGTCTCCACTGCTTTACTTGTGTCTTGTTCTGCTCCTGGTGTCTCTGTTTCCACACACATGGTCAGACCTTCAGCAGACTGAAGCGAAGCCATGTGTGGAAGCAGACGAATAAAGAGTTAAAGTTAAAGGACAAGCTAAATTAGCCTGACCTAAATTGGCTAAACTGGCTCCGGAACACTTTGTTTTGAAATTCTTTGACTATTTAGGCCACTGGCTAAATCTCCAGACTGCACTTTGAATTTTCCAATACTACACAGGCCACTCTCGGTCTCTTAATAAGCACAGGGAGGGCCACTGGTTTCAATGGGAGGAACTAACATGCACTTACGAACTCGGCTGACAAGAACAGAGAAGCTCATCACACATAAACAGTTTGTCATAAGGATGCCATCGCTCCACTTTATCATCACACAGCAGATACATGCTTGCTGCTATATCAAGCTACATCTATCTTCACAATCTCGCGTACTGCACCTTTAAAACCACTTTTTTTTTTTGTATCACTTTAGTTGGGTCAAAATGTAATTATAGAGACACTGATGAACAAACAATTTGGTGCTCAACATTTTGGGAAATGCATATGTTTGCTCGCCAAGAGTTTGAATGAGAAGATTGAGGCATCGCGGGTTTTCATCAAGACTGCGACAATTAGCCGAGCAGAAAGAGTGATTTACCGGCTAACAAGGCAGCAAAACACAAAATCAATCACACTTGTTAGAGGCTAAATTAGAATTCTGTTGAGACTCCTGACTTGAATAAATGTTCCCACCTGTCCAAACTCGCTCAGGGCCCAACATCTCAGGACTTCTAATATGGATATCTGGGAGCTTCGCGCCGTCTATTTGGTTTATCTGCCAAGTCTTTGAATATCCACACTCTACTGGAGGGTGACCATGATTAAAATGCTATCATTGTAGCATCTAAATGCATTTTATGAGGTGACTTTGGCTTAAAAGCGTGGGCAAAAAGATGTGTCAAAAGGGTAAGCTAGCGCTCTCTCCGGAGCAATACGGCGATGAATAATTCACAGACACAATTCTCTATTAAAGCTGTGAAGGTGGAAGAGGTGATTTGTGTTTTGAGGAGAATTATCGGTCAGCTTCTTTTCAAACACTGGGTGTGAATCATAGAGCACCATCGTTCCGGAGAGTTTTTTGGCTGCTCCCCAACAAAAACCCTCAATATTTCAGCAAAAAAAAAAAAACTAATTCCAACACTTACGACAGGCATGAACAATTCCTGGAGCTCGCAAATGTACTTTCATGTTTGTTTTCACATTAAACCTGCAGAATGAGGATGTATAATTGCATTCCCTTATCTTCTCACTTGCTCCACTCTTTTTCTCCCTGCCCTCCCTTTTCCTTCAATATACATCAACGTATTTTGAAAGGTTTTTGTTGTTCTGCCTCTGAAAGTGCTGACGCGGTCTTGGCAAGGCCTCCCGCCGAAAGAAAAGACAACTAATCTCTAATGGTATGAAATTTGA